GCCCGCGGCCCGCGCAGGACAAAGGCGGCAGCGCCCCCGCGTGGCCACGCCCAGGGCGGGGCTTAGGCCGGAAGGGGGCGGCCCGCCCGGACAGGTCGTCTAGGCAACGGCTCGCTCCGCTCCGGCTCCTCCAAAGCCCTAAATCCGGGTGCCATGGGGGAGGGCAGGGCGCGAGAGGGCGCGGGCGCTCAAGATCAGCCGCCCGGGGGATGGCGGTCTTTCCAAGTGGAAGGGGACGAATGGAGAGCGCGCGACAGGGCACAGGACGGCGAGGGGATAGGGTCACGGGAGGCGTCGCTCCTGCCGGCTCGCTTTCCGCAGGGATTCGGCCCTGAGGAGCAGTTCCCCTCCCGGGGCCCTTTGTCTCCGAGCTTTTCTAAACTGAGCTGCAGGAGGCAACACAAAGGGAGGGCGGTGGCGAGAGGCGCAGGCGCAGGAAGTGCGGAGGCTGCTGGGAGTGGTGGTCCCACCTCGCGACGGTTCGTTCCCTCTCGCGCAGAGCCCCAGCGCGCTTGCGCGATTACTTCCGCCTCTATTAGGCCCGCCCTCTCTACCCGCCTCCGGAGGAACCGTCTCTAGTTGTACAAGCCCCGGAGGAGTTACCCACTGTTACCACGCCTCTCCTTCGTCCTCATTGGCTACCGAGGTAAGAGCGAAAAGTGGATTGGCTCTAGGAGTTGCCACTTCTGTTCCGGACACTACTTATACCGCACTGCGGGGCGGGGTGAGGAGTAAAGCTGGGGGGCACGGAGGCGGTACTCCTTGTGTGTCACTGTCTCCGAGGCAGCGGTCCCGCGGCTAGTCCAGCCTGGGCGGGTCTTCAGTGGAGCAGGCCGCCATCGCGTGTCTCCCTGCAGGCGTGCAGCGCAGCACAGCAGGCTCGCCACCAAGTGCCAAACTCCTAGTAAAGTTTGCGCGTCGCCCACCGCCCCCGTCCCGGCGGCTACGACGCGGCCTTCTCCGCGACCCTCGCCCCCAGCACCAGTGACAGGCGAAGCCACGCCCCCGCGGGCCTGCC